AACTTTATTAAAAATTATAGTGGAGAAAAGTTTCCAAAGATCCCAAATCTGTCAGATTGAATTTTAGGGAAATGTGCAGTCTGATTAACATCATACAGCTTCAATGAAGAGCTGCAACAAGCTTACACACAATATACTGTATATGATACATCCATACAAAGTGGAATAAGATGATGAACAACCAATAGTCACTAAAGGGGAAATAAAAGGGGACATTTGATGTTATTCAATTGTTCTAATTTTACGTTAAATAAAAAAATAAATAATCTAATTCTTCAAACATCAACAGTTCTATTGCAAACAAGACACAACAATGTAATTAATCATTGGAAGAGGGTTTATTATGCAAACTACAGGTCTGGACGGAGCTACTGCACATTTCAGCACTACGGTGAGAACCAAACACTGCAGTGTAGTATAAGATACCATATACCACCTACAGGCCACTCGCTGTTATCTACATATCAACATCTTCAGCTACCATATTTCTGGGCAGCTTAACACTATCATCCACTATGATCTATATATAAATGCTACCATTGTATTTATTTGATCAAACCTTTATTTTACCAGGCAAGACATTAGGAACAATTTCTTATTTACAACGACGACCTGGCAAGTGCCAGAACACTGGAACCATCTTCAGACTTCCTCCTCTTATTTTAACTTTATCTACATGGCATCATCTAGCATCTAAACTCTACAGTCTACAGGCCACTATCATCGTCTTCGGGCAAGAATCTACTATCTAAATGCAACCATATACATGTGCAAACTCTACCATTTACATGTAACCATCTACAGGCCACCGTCTACCAACTGTAGACTCCACTATTCTCACTCTACCATGTAAATGCTACAATCTGCAGACCATTATCTGCCAGCTACAGGCTAACGTTGCATTATGATGCCTTAATGGTGCCTGTTTATGTCTTTATGTCATGTTATAAGTGACAATTTAACAGGCTAATGTCTAAAAGTTAATGTTTATATTATAAATTAATATATAGGCTAACGTCTATATTATAAATTATTAACATATCACCTAGCACTTAAATGCCTCCATATTCTACAGGCCGCTTTATCTACCCCTACTGGCCATCACAGGGCACCTAAATGCTACCATCTACTGACCACCCTGTACCACTGGCAGCGCACCATTCACCGGTTACCATCTACAAGCTTTTTTAGTTACTCAACATCGTTGTAAATAAGCGTTATCCTCTATGGTCAGTCAAGGTGAATCTAAGATTGTGGATAATGATGGTAAACAGGCTACAACTGAATGTTTACAGGTCATTGTAGCTACAGTCATGTTTTGAATGCAACGTCTTTGTCACTCACCTGCAAGTCCTGCCTTCTGTCTGTCTATTGATTAGTTGGAGGGGGGGGGGATCTCAGCAGGTGATTGACAGCTCAGTGTCAGTCATTCAGCAAAAATTTTACCTCTGTCCCAAAGTCACCCACCCAAACAGACTCACTGTTCACTCACATCCGTCGCAGAAGCCAAGTCTGTCAGTTTTTTCTTTTTTTCTTCTCCACAACACAAACACAATGATCTTTACCAACAGCCACTTGTCTAAACAGTGTTTCACTTCAATTTATTAAGGCCTGTCATTCCATTTCTGTCTCACACACACACTTCAAAACTGCATGCAACCATTTGATCAGTGTACCTGTTTGGAGGTTAAAACCACTTCCTGAGAGCAGCAGACGGTCCCTCTTCAGACATAACTACTTCCACTGATGATTTCTGCTACTACAAAAGTCATATAGAGACTGCATGTGTGGACTAAACAGCAATTAAAAACTGAGGATTTATTTCAGATCTGCAGCGTGAAGTACATCACATAAACTGAGAGCAGCCGTGCAGACTTTAAATTAAGGCCATTAATGGTGAAATCAAAACTACTTTTATCTTTATGATCGTCAAACTGTTATGGTTTAAAACTTGAAAATCTTATAATCTGGGGATAAATCGTGTTAACAGTTACATTCTATGCAGCAATCCATTTCTCTGCTGTCGTTTTTGTTTTTTCCACAATGAACTCCACTTGGATGAGACATAAAGGACAAAGCAGTTATTCTGAGATCATGACATTTGTATTGTCCTGACAAACTATGTTTACACAAACCTGATCATTAAATACTTTCCTCAGGATAACTGAGCTTAATATAAAACCCTAATATGAGCCTAATCTATGGATTTGGGCACTTAAATTGGAATTAAAATAAATTGATCACTATGGTGTCCCCTCAGTCAGTGAACTACTTTTCCGTTCACTTGCAGTACTTTTGAGTTACCTCACAATACTGTTTACATTAATCTATCTGATCCACATTTCTGGAGGAAGCACAAGCTTCAACAATATCTACAACCACTGGTTGCAAACACATGTATGTAACATAATTGCAAGGGACTATTATCGTTTTGCAAGGAGATGCAAAGGTAGTTCACAAAGAAATTCTCTAATTAATGCAAGGGATCTAAATGGCTCATTAGCTGTCAGCTGTACGATAAACCCTGGAACATGCTGAATACTGACAAGCTGCAGCATTTTTCAGTTTTTCTGGCTGTTTATGGCACAGTTACTAATGCTGGGAGTCATCATGAAAATGCAAAAAATCCAGACTGGTGACTCTACAGAACAGACACCAGCCACTGTTCAGTCAAAAATAAATAAAAGCTACAAAGTTAACATTGAATCTAAATGCTCACAGAGGAGGAAGTTTAATTTTGATTTAATTTTAATCAAGTCTAAGTCGCTAATATGAAAGCAATGATAACTTGAGGCACAACCTGGAGCCATTTACTGGATCAAAGTTTACCTTATATTCCACTGAAGATGTTGAATTGAAGGTCATCTGTATTCCACACAAACCCCAGTCTTCTATTCAAGTTTTACAAAATACAGAAACAAGTGACTCAGTTACTCAAAATCAATCACATAAGTTTCCATCATCAGGCAGTGAAGAGTAGGTGTGCATCAGGAATGTCCTTTTATTAGCCAAAGCAAAGGAGACTCCACATCATGTATGGGATACGATCATACAAGTTTGTTCACACTGACAGTAGAAACAAAAATGAGCTTTTAAAGGTGAAAACATCCAAAACATTATCAAACATACATACAACAAAAAGCTACCAAACTAAAAAACGCTACAGACTTCATCTGAGCGCTCTACAGTCCAAACACCTATTGAGCATGTGCTGTGGAAAAGGGGGTGGGGTTGGGGTGGCAATATTCAAACACAGCAATAATGAGACAGAGGGGAAAAGGATTCAGCAGCCCAAAATCATTATTTACAAAATAAAACACGAGTCAGCAATCTGTCCATCCCACATCCTCTACATAGCAACGGAGCACTGTTGCAACACTGAATTGTGTCAACGTTTTACCATAGCAACGGGGCATGTCAAAATTTCACCACAGCAACAGAGCATAAACATTTGATCATGGCAACATAGCTTTTTATCATAATTTTACCATAGCAACAGAGAATGTGAAGACTTTACCACAGCAACAGAGCAACACAATTTCACTGTGATCTACAGCATGTTTTACCATAGCAACAGAGCATGTGAAGATTTTAGCGTAGCAACAGAGCATGTAAAGATTTTAGCAACAGAGCATGTAAAGATTTTACCGTAGCAACAGAGCATGTAAAGATTTTACCATAGCAACAAATTTTATCATAGCAACAGAGCATGAACATTTTATAATGGCGACATACTGTGGCTTTTCATCATGATTTTACCACAGCAACAGAGCATACATTTTAAACCACAGCAGCACAGCATATTTAAGCGCTTTACAGCAACTTTGTCAGCCTCATTATAATCATCGTGTTACCATAGCAACAAAACAGGGGAGTATGTTCAGTGTGTCAACGTGACGTGACAAAGAGCGGCATTAGAAACAGGATCAGAAAAGACCAAAATCCATCAATATCATCATCAGTTTGTGCTACCAGAGTCAGTGGAGGAGCTGCACAAAGAGCAACGTCTGGATCAGTCGTTCCACTTGACAGACTGCGAGGGGGGGCGTGGCCACTATTTACACACAGGGGGAGGGGCTTCAGTAATGACTGACAGTCAGTGAGCAAGGCAAGATGTAAACTGAGCTACTGACAGTTGGGTTTGAGTCCAGAATCAGGTGTTTCACCGGGATGGTTGAACCAGGTAGGTGTAAGTTCATTTTATTTTTTTTATATCTACAGTCTGTTTTGGGATTTTGGATTTAACCCAGGCTTATCTTGACCTTGCGTGCTCCAATTGGTCGGTCATTGAGGTCCATGACGGCAGCAGTGGCCTCCTCGTGGTTCTGAAAGGCCACCATGGCCTCGCCAGTTGGCAGGCCTTTCTCACTGAATTGTAGGCAGACTGAGCCTGGCAGCACCTGGTAGCCGTAAAAGAAGTCCATAATCTCATCCACAGTTACAGTGAACGGCATATTTTGAAGCTTTACAATTGTTGGGCCAGCAGCACCACGTTGACTGTTGGGATTGTTAGGTCCTCCAGGGGCCGGCTGGTTACGGAGGCTGTCAGCTCCTGGAGTGAACACCTGCTGTGGACCGGTAGCCCCGCCCCCAGGACGTCCTTGGTTGTTATTAGCCCCTCCGCCTCGGTTCTGTCCTCCTCCACCTCCTTTTCTGTTGCCATTGTCAAAAGGCACCAACCCTCTCAGTCCATCTTGGTTGAAGGGAGCTCCTCCTGCAGCGCCAGGTCGAAAGCCGGGTGGCTCCAAGATGGAAGCTCCAGGAATACCAGCAACAAGTGGAGGGGCCACGCCTAGATTCACGTCCCCCAGCCCTGCAGCCAGAGGAGGGAGAGGAGGAGGGCCTGCCAGCCCATTTCCTGGGGCTGAGAATGGAGTCACAAAGGGGGCATTATTGAGGTTTCCCATGGTGTTTCTGAGAAAGTTAAACTCCTCACCGCTAATACCAGCAAATGGGTTGATCTGGGGTTGCTGGGCAGTGGGCTGGGGTTGCTGGTGCTGGTTCTGATTTTGGTTCAGCTGGTTCTGGTTCTGGTTGCGTTGGCCCCTCTTATTCTGAGGAGGAGGATTCCTCTCAATTTCCTTCATCTGGTCAAACGTCACCAGGTGGACAAAGGCATCTCGGCCATTGAGTTTTTGGCGGTGGAGTCTCTCAGCTTTGCGGGCATCTTCCTCAGTCCGCAGCTGGAAGATCGCTTGGCCTAAACCATTGCCATGACTATCTGTCAGAACTTTCAGGGTGTCCTCGTAAAGCCCCACACCCTCCAGGAAGGCACGGACATCCTTCTTGGAGACATTGTAAGGGATGTTGGTGATGTGGGCACAGTTCCTAGGAGCTTTCATGCCATCCTGGTTCTTGCCATCACCCTGTGCTGCTTCACGTTTGCGGATAGTGTCAATCTTTTCAAGCATTCCCTTACGGTTGATTGGGTGGACCTGGATGAAGCGGGTGCCCATGTACTGCATATGAGCACCCAGAGCAGTCTTGTAGTCCTGTTCTGTTTTAAACTCAAGGAAGCCCTCACCTGTGGCTCGCCCATTGGGCCCGTAGGCAATGTAGATGCTGTCCTCTATGATGGCCAGATTGTTAAAGAACTCCTTTATCTGTTTCTTGTCTGCCTCGTAGGGAAGGCCCTTCAAGTAGACACAGAACTCCTGCCGGTGGGGAGATCGTGACCTTCCTCGCTGATCCCTGCCTCCGGCCCCTGACCCAGCATTACCACGGCGGTGCTGCTGGTCCTGTGACTCATTATTTGATTTGCCGCTGTTGTGAGGATTATGGCCTGTCACACTGTCATTGAGGCTGGCCCATTGCCGCTCAGAGCCAGGGGTGATCTCAATGAACCTTTGGCCCATCATGCCACCTCCCCGTTTCACAGCTTCGAAGCTGTCCTGGGGTGAGTAGAACTTGACCATAGCCCTGCCAGATGGGCGGCCCTGTCCATCCCTCAGCAGGCGAACCCCATCCACCCCCAGACCCCGGAAAAAACCCCTGACATCCACCTCTGAACAGGAGAAAGGGAGGTTCTGCAGGAAGACAAACAACTCATCAGGACTGGCCACTCCTGCTCCACTAGCTGCAGCAGCAGCAGCCTTCATATGGGCCTGGAGGCCAAGAGAGGCCAGGGGGGAGAGAGGGTTGAACAGCATGGGGTTGGGGGTTCCAAGAGGGAGGCCAGAGCCAAGTCCTCCTGGAGGAGGTAGGGAGGGGTTGAAGGGAGGCATGGAGGACATGTGAGATAGGTGGGACATAGGAGGAACTGGAGGTCCTTGGGACAGTGGGGAGACAGTAGGGACAGGGGGGAGGGAAGATACTGGAGGAGGAACTGGAATAGAGGGAAGAGTGGGCATGGGGGGCATGGAAGGCATGCTTGGAAGTGGAGGGATGGGTGGGGGTCCTGCATTGAGCGATGCCAGAGCTGTGGTGATTGTGGGGGCAGAGCTGTAGCTGTTGGGGAAGCTGGGCACCACACTGGCCACTGCCTTGTTGCTTTGTGGAGATGAGCTTGCTGCTGTTACTGAGGCCTGGGTGTTACTGAAACCCTGGTTTCCATGGCTACCACTTCTCCCCCCTGCCCCTGGCTGCACTGCGGGTATGGGGGCAGCCACTTGTCGGTTGGCATTTCCTGCTGTAGATGCAGCTGTCTCTACAGCACCTGCCCCAGCCTCAAACCTGCGGCGGCTGAGTTCAATCATGTTCTGCATTTCTGTTTTGCTGCTAAGCAACAGCGACACTTTGGAGCCCTTAATAGACCCTCCTGTACGCATCATCCCCAGTCGAGCATCTTCATCAGTGGCAAAGACGATGAAGGCCTCGCCATGCTCACCCCCCACGATGTGCACTCCCCCGTCAGGGATGGTGAGGCCAGAGAAGAAGTGTCTGATGTCCATGGTGCCGGCCACTATGGGCAGACCTTGCAGCCTGATGACTACTGCCATACTGACTGCTAAACAACAGCCCTACAACCTGGGGAGAAAGCAACACTACGGTCAGATGAAGAGCATAAGAGGGCAACCAGTGGTTTCCAGATGTTTCCTCAGGAAACTCGGGTCTGACTTCGCAGGCCAAAGAAGGCTTAGCCAACAATGCTTACATTTCAGTTTCTTCAGAATAACCTAGAGACCATTTTTATAAACTTTGTGCACCCATTTTTGGGTCCTGACATTTGGAAACCAGTGGTGTTTAGAAGGGGTTTGATGGGGGTGAAACATTTGCAGGAAACTGACAACAAAGCTAAACTGAAACAGTCTCCAGACATCTGCAAGCTTTAAATAAGTGATTAACGTTTCAGATCAGATCACGGCAGACTTTGTTAGACCCCAACAGAAGCAATCTTAAGCATTAGCATAGCTCCGCTGTTCCTAAATTTTGTGTGTTGTAAAAGAAACATAGCAAGAAAATTAAAGAATGGAACTGACATCAATAAACATATATGCACACAGACGCACGCACAAATATTTATGAACATACATATACACACACACACACACACACAGGTTCTCTCCTCAACTGCCTCTGACGTATTGCAAATTCAGAGCAATTCAAACTGGGAAAAAAAGTGTTTCACAGTGCAAAACAATTCAAAATTTACCATCTGTGATATCATTCATTACTGAGTCTGGCCGAGATTTTGCTAGCTAACTAACTGTACCAATTTTTGTGAAGCAAGCATGCAACAGGGTCAGGTCACATTCTGTAACTCAACTAGTGAAGTCTGATTGATCTTATTGACTCACACAGTTACTATTTTCAATTTATGCAGACCTTCAATGTACCTCATGGTTGGTTATAGTGAGATCCTTTCCCTTTGTGTGTTTCAGTAACACCTTAGCATCATGTAGTGCAGATACACAAGAAACTTCCTAATGCAACTTGTTTTGTTGAAAATTAATGTCTACAGTAAGCGTCAAACAAAGTGCATATCGAATCGTCTAACAGTATCTGAAACCTAATATCCAAAGGTGAAATCAGATTACTGAGGACTTTAAATGTCAATAAGAGTTGCTCTGTTTATCAGTCCCTGAATGCAACCAAGAGATTTTAGGCTATTTGGTTCCTTAAAGTAACCCTTACTGTTGTCTACCACGCAGTGCAAAGATATTGCTTGTCGTTTCAGCTAAGTCTGACATATTTCGTGCAACAGTAAACCTTCATGAATCTCATGCAACTTGCGACTCACCAATGCAACTAAGCTGTGTATAGTTTCACTGTTTAACAGACAGGGGATTTCTGCAGGAAAACTGAAACCTGGTGAAAAGGTAGAAAACAAACATTCCTGTTCAAAACATTGATGAAATTCAACCTTTCACAGAACATGCGTTACATTTCCAACGACCGACGTGTGTTGGTGTTTTTAGCAGTTGACAGCTTGTGCTTACGTCAGTGTCAGTAACTGGCTCTCATTCAGTATTCGATAAAATGTTGAATATTAACAAAGCATCGTGTAATGTATTATTTCAGCTGTACTACTAAAAGGCTATCTTTAACCAAACACAGATCTCAAATCTAAACAAATCTCAGAATCTGACTGCGGTAGCTTTCCTAGCTGACAGCAGAGAGACACACCTGTCCGAAACCGAAACCCATCATGACTAAAGCCGGCAGTGTAACAATATCAAACTCTCCTAAGAAGAAGTACCAAGTATGAAACCGAAGATAGGACTTGCTGAGCTCCAACAAGCCAGCAACCACCTGGAAACCAGCCAGCAACACCCTATGAACACCAAGCAACAACCCAAGACCTACCAGGCAACCAGGAGGCCAGCAACAACACAGAGGTGAGCAGGACCGATCCCGCTTCCTGAATCCTCAAGCAGCACCAAAACAGCAGGCAGCACTTCAGCAACTTCACCCAACCCAAGCAACACGTCAACCAGCAAATCTGCAACATTGTCAACAAAAACATTAGCATCATGTTATCAAAAGCAACAGCAATAACTTATCAACCAGAGAAATAAGAGCAATGTCATCAACATTTTAACAAAAGCAGTGTCAGGTACATGTAAACCAAAGCAACATTCGCATCATGTCAACCAGGGCAACATTAGCATTACATCAACGAGAGCAATATTAGCATTATGTGAACCAGAGCAATATCAGCAACTGATTGCCAGCACAACACCAAAGACAGCAGCTGATCAGAGGAGAAAGCAAACAGAAGCAAGGTGCAGAGCAACGTGTGAGCTAACACGGGTAAAAACATGTTCAACTGAGCGACAGCAGGTGGCGCAACGCTCACTGCTTCCACAACCCTGTACTTCACAAATGTCTCTGGATCCTCAGACACATCTTCGGGGGTTCTGTGCCGCAACTAACCCTGATCCAGGACCACCAGACCTTTATGATCCCGAACAAACATCTCGCTCAACTCTGACCTTTCAGTCAGTCTGCAGCTTGTTGAAAAATGCTGAAAATACAAAAGCTAAAATACTGGTCCAGGTGTGAGTTCACCACAGCCTTCATCACCATCATCATCACCATTAATTTCAGTGCTCCACCTCAGCACAGAAAAATCACATCCAACACCGACGTATGACAGCTCAACTAATGCTTCTTCCACTTGTAATGGATTGTTAACCTGGACGTCCACACCACCACCTGTGAGAAACATCAACAGCAGCAAGAGGATTAAAACACAGCAGGAGAGGAAACGGCAACAGCTCACAATGTCAGAGACAACCAGAGCATCCAAAGTGAGGTGAAAGGGTTCAATTCAAGCTGCAGTTTGCACTCACATAAAACCAAGAAAACAAAATGGAGCTGATAGGAGACAGAAAATAATGTCCTTCAAACAGACAGAAAACCAGAAAATGATCAATACAGCAAATTCAGGATCAAAGAGCAAAGACACTGCCTTGATTTCTCAGTTTATAGCTGAAACACAGAACTGCCCACATGCTGTCGGCCTCAAAACACAGCAAACATAGTGGAATTAAACGAGAAAGAGTGGAACGCCATCCATGGACCAAATAACTCAAACACTAAGAATATATCTGAGAACAAGGACGAGGGAATCTCCTCATGTCAGCCACAATTTGGAGCTCTAATCTCAACAGAGAGGACAATGAGACATGATCTGGCACGATGGCGTCTGTAAAATACAACCATTTGCTGCCCCTTATTAAACCCTTTATACCCTTTTTTTTATAAATAACAGACCTTATCCATCCATCTTTTTCACAATGACTGACTGTACACAACTCCACTGACCTGCATAAGACAAAGACAAAAACAGAAACAACTGACATACAGGAAACGTACGGTTATTATTCTCAGTTTCCAATCGGATTCACCCTATGAGGTATCATTCACTGGTTAATTATAGCCCCTTTCAGATATGCGTCTTGTTACATGCAACTTTATATGTGAGTCTCATGTTTGATTAAACCTGTTACTTTGATGTAAAAGTCACAACAGTAATCTGTAAACCTGTAAAATGTCTAAAAATAATTAAATAAAAAAGGTAAATCAGTTTTCTTCTGTTCATAAACAAGAAAACACTGTGAATAAGCCAATTTAAATTATTTTAGGAGTCTAATCAAGCTGGAAAAAGAGTACAAAGGCCAAAATAAAAAATAACTCACAAAAAATAATAATAACCACAATAATGATCAAACATTCAGTCTCAGAATATCACGCTCTTATAATATACAATGCGTTATAATATATTTATCTTGGTCATTATAGGACTAGGGATGCAGGACATTTGAGAATTTTTAAAAAAAATCTAATGAAATGTCGTCCGATACTACTTTTCCGATACCGAACACCTGTTGAGTGATCCCACGTCTGAAAAGGGCTAAAAGTCAGTAAATCTGTTCGCCGAGTGTTAAACCCAGACTCCATGACAACCGCTGACATCATAAACAACTTTCTACCTGCTCAGCTCAGTACCAGTGCACTGTGACGTCTCTGCCCGGGGGCGTGGCCTGCGCTCTCCCGTGGGCAAGCAACCGCAGTGTAATCGATCAAATAAAAACCTACAGACTGAACAAATCAGAGCTCAAACACCTCCTCACCCTGCTCGCACAGTGAAAGAAACTACAGCTGATACGGAATATTAAAAAAAACAAACACATGGAGACATTAACAGTGTGTCGGTTACCTAGCTACTGGTAGCTTCGTAGCTACGTGTATGACCTCATTTTAAACAAACCCGCCTTTAAAGTTTCACACAATCCTTCGTGATGATAAACAAATATCCGACATGGAGCCTCTAAAGCGAAACCCCTGCAGCTCTGGGTAGATAGCTAACTTACTCCCTAAAGAAAGGGTGAGTGAAGCTACTTGAGCATAGCTACCTGTGCAGGCTAACGCTTTGTGTGTGTGTGTGTGTGTGTGTGTGTGTGTGTGTGTATGTGCTGTGTGTATGGTATGTGTTTGTATGTTGTGGTGTGCTGTTGTGTGTGTGTGTGTGTGTGTGTGGTGTGACGAGAGAGAAGCGGCAAGGATGCGCGCCTTTTAGCGGCTCCTCTCGGCCCTCTGCGCCGCGGTGGTGAGCGCCACCGAGGGGCTGCCGCTGCTGGGATTTCTTACCGAGATATCTGTTGAACCAAACACCAGTGAGGTTTAAACTCATGAACGGAAGCTTCTTTCTCTTCTTTCTCTCTTTTCTTCTCTTTCTCTCTGCGAGGTTGCGACGGCACGAAATGTCGCGCAAACACCGCGAAATACACGGCCCGTGGATGAACGCGAGATTACGTCTGCCGTTTCCGCGGACGAGCAAGCTGCATGCGAGCGACTCGGCCCCCCTAGCCGGTTGGAACCGGGCTAATTAACTTAGGATAGATTAGACAGACAGACATGAGTAGAATATCGGATAAGATAGATTAGGTAGATAGATACGAGTAGATGAGATACGATAGATGGCGATAGATAGACTAGACACGAGCGATAGACAGACAGACAGACAGACACGACGACAG